GTCCAGAAGGCCCAGCTGGCGGCTGGAATTGCACTTCAGATACGGCTTAATTGGCCACCGACAGTCGACGAAACTTTTCAATTAGAATTAATGATGTTAGGGCCAGTTGCCAAGGGCAGGAAAAAACTCAACGGGAAAAAGGGGAAAACTTGCACTTGCTGTTGCGGTGGAGCCAAATTATTTTGCCAATTACAACTGCAATTTTTGCAGAAATGGAAAACCGCCTGACAGACAACTGAAATATGCAAATGAAATTTATGACTCGACATTCCTCGGGGCACAAACTGCAAACTGTGAAATACAATTCTCGTGTTGCATACTTTTGGTCGTGAAGAACCAGAAAAAAAAATACCAAAACTACAACGAAAACGAGAAAGCCCAAACACCGGCCTTTAATGGCAGGCTAAAGCCTTAAAGTACGGCTAAAAAGGATATTCGGCTCCATTTGCTGCCAAGGATTTTGCATTTTGATGTTGGATTTTGTGTCACTTTTGTGTTACGTGTATTTCTCTTTTTTTTTTTTTTTTTTTGGCAGACTGAGCCATCGCATTACGGCTAAGCAGGTGGCCCGAACCCGAGCCTGATGGAGTCTCTGGTGTAAGCCGAGTTGTGTATAATTGATGACATCGGAGCGAGACCGCACAAGCAGGTCAAGGCAGGTGGCTGGGGGCACATCCAAGGGCAGTTGGATTGGAACATCTTGCAGGTAACTGGGCGTTTAAATGGCTCACTCTTAATTTCTTTGTCCTGTGGCGCTTACCAGCCATGAGCTATCATTTGGGTAAGGTGAAACTGTGTTTAGTAGTGTGTTTATACTGTTAAATAGAGAAAACATGTTATTTTGCACAGTCCTGCTGGATTTCACCAGAGCTCACAATAGTAGTTCTCCTTTGGTTAAGTCTAGATAAATTAAACAATGAAACTACTTTATTTAGGACCATTCTTATTTTCCATTTTTCTTTACAAAAAGGCGAGGTGAAGGAAATCCATTTTAAACGAATATAATTTTTACGAACCAATTGAGCTATATATAATTCTCAAAGTATTAGTTGTCCTTGAAGAAGTGCAAGAAATTTTCCAATCGCAGATAAGCACTTTCAGGACAATACTCCATAGAATTCCTTCGGTCAGCTACGAGCGTAGCAAAAATCGATTTCGGTGACACTGGATGGGGATAGCTCCATCGCGCTCTGTGGCTCCACTCGTGCAGGCAATAAAGCATTCCCAGAACGCATAATATTTGCCTAAACAAATGCCACGGTCCCTGCATCGGAAAACCCCTACGGCGGATACTGGCTTAACCTATGACAACAACAGCCGGACAAACATTGCCAAGCGCAAGGACGATGGCAAAGGCATTCCCAGAGCAGAAATTTATGCGGTCGGTGGCATAAGCAAATTTCAACTTTAAAACAAGGCGAACAAAAATTTTGCAAGCTGGCGCAAGCTGAAAAACCAATTCGATTTAGCCATATGCAATGTAAATCCTCCGAGGATTCCGAGGAGGAGAACGTAGGGATATGCGGCACATGTTAGAAGCTCAGAAGTTGAAAGCAAAAATGTGGCAAAAACGGGGAAAAAAACGTTTGCATATGCTTTAATCAAAGGCAATGACGTACGGGAATGTGGTTCATTCTTAAAAACGTAGCCAGGATTCCGGAGAGGGCTGACGGGGTTCTCAGAGGGTGTGGGATTTTGAGAGAGGGCTTCCTCCAGAAACGGAACTGTTGACAAAGCCATGCGGGTAGCTCCTCAGCCAAGATTGCGAATGGACATTGTGATTGTCCGCTGGCAAGTCCAGCGCCTGCGCAAGGGTTAAAACGGAGAGTGGAGAACGGAGAACGGAAAACGGACAACGGTGAAAGGAGAGAGGCGAGAGCTTTGCGACTCTCTCTGCCGCCCTTTCTGCGGCTTACACGCCCCACTGGGTGGTTGTTGTTCTCTCGGCAGGGTTGCTTTTGACATTCTGTTTGCCATGTGCCCCACTGTAAGACGGATATGCACCGAGAAAAAATTTGTATATAAGGGATTCCATAAGTCGATTTGAAATTCTTTAATGCTTATTATGCTAATTTCTATCTTTGCAACATTTCTGATTTTTTTTTATATAATAAGAGATTTTATTTTACATTGCTATTATGACGGATTCAAACTGTTGCTCTCAATTGCCCTGTTTAGGTATAATTTTTTAATTTGTTTGACTATTAGATCATTTTGGAAACTATTTGCAGTGTACCCTCCCCGCTTCCCCATTTTACGCCCATCAACCCCTCGTGTCTTGGTCGCCGCTTATAGCTTTTTAATTGCAAATAGAAATTGTTAACATTTTTGTTTACGTTTATTAACTAATTGGATGAGGCAATGTCGTTGCATAGTTTAGCTCCTGGTCACCTGGCCTTTCTTGGGTGTTTTCGGGATGCAGGAACACCCACGTTAAGGGGAGTCGGGACTTTGTCTACAGCGGTAATCCCCCGGGTCATTAAGGCGTCTACGTGTCTGCAACAGCAGCATCCCAGGATGCTTCCAACCAGGACATTGTCGCCTGCCGATTGTCGCATGTTTTATTCAGTTCGGCGACGTTCTCCTCATCGCTGCCATCAGGTTGTAAATATTGAACAACACAAACAACAACGGGAAAGACGAGAGGAGAAATTCACCGGAAGCTGAAATGGTGCTCATATTTTAAGATGTTGCATTTTTGATCTGACGCGACAGTTTTTTTATTGCCCAAGACGAAGGACACCTTAATTGTTTGCTGGCAAAAGGATGAATGCCAAAGGATGGCGGAGCTAAAATTGCAAGGACCCCTGGGACACGTCAGTGGATTTGAAATAGAAATGGCAAAAGAAACGGAATAAGAGATAGTAATAAAGATGGGGATAGAAATTGAATTAGAAATGAAGATGGAAACGGAGATAGGAAAAGGAAAATATATATATGAAAGCCACTGAAGCTCAACAGAGCTACACATTTTGGTATATTTATCGATAAGCCAAGTCGCCTGTCGTTTCCCTTATGAAAAACTTCCATGGTCCTGAGTTTGATTGATAAAAAGTTTGACGTTGCAAATGCCCGATGAAAAGTAAGCAAGTTGTAAACGCAGAGTTCAAAAAGAAAACGGCATAAACAAAGTTATATAAAATTTAGCACAAATATTGCACTTTGGCACATTTTTTCTGACAGTTGAAAGATTACCAATTATAATCCCCGAAGATAAGCCGGGCTCAATAGTTGTGGCCTGTAACAACACGATTTGATGTTTGCGTTGCATATATATTTAAAGCAACAACAAAATACTGTAACTGGCAAATACAAATACATGTTTCATAAAATACCTTTAACAGTTTAAGCCTTTGTTTAAATTTTAATAGCATTCAATAAATTTTAGGAGCCATTCAATTTATCCTCGCTCCCTGAGAACAATGTCCTGCCATTTATCGACTTTTTCATTGCATGGATTTATTTTTTGGTTCGCTCGAGAGTAGAGTAGTTCATTAGGACAGTGCAATGTTGACAATAACATTTTGAGGGTTGAACTTGGCTATAAATACGAAACTATAATGCTCCCAAAGAAACTAAGCTGACAAAAACAGACAACAAGACAGGGGATCACCGCTTGGGGTTGAAAATGAACGGAAAATATTCATGAACTCACGTTCATAAGTATTTCTGGATAGGTCTGCGGTGACGTCATCGCCGCACAAATATGATTGCAATTTATTGGGTATACTTGAGCAAACAAAAACAACATCAATCAATTTTGAGTATTTATCATCTTAACTCGGCAATCCGCTGCCCCGTTTGTATATCAATATTTTGTGCGAAGACAATTTGATAACGAAGACGTTTAGCCATTTGCAGGGCCAACTTCAGGCGCACAAGTGTCTCCTTCATTTCCCAGACCGCCTCCGTCCCGTTCCGCCCCTTTTTGGCCCTTGATTAATGCCCTTACTGTCAGGCCAAACACCTCAAGTGCCCATTGAGGCCCGGCTCCTCTTCCACCTTTTCTCGAAGCTCGCAGGTGAGCACTCGTAAAACTCAAAAGCCACATCCGCCCGCCATATTAAATTCTGCAATTCAACTTCGTTTTCGAGCAAGAACAAAAAACTGTCTATAAATACTATTAAATGAGTGAGGTGAAAACTCCTGCGTACAAGGACACTGGGGAAAAATAAACCTTCTTAAGAGTATCATGCTTTCAAGCTTAAGATAAGTTTAAAGATACAATATTTTAGCTTTAATTTCAAACAAAAATTGATGGTTCTTATAGATTTTAATTCACAAGACAACATAGGGTTCTAGATGCAAAAGATTTGAACTAATTTATTAAATTATATTTAAGGGATTGTACCGATTTTTCAGGGGAAAGGTTAGATTTATAAAGCACAATTTGTTTCATTCTGAATCCTGAATATAAACACTCTTTAATAAGCTGGCTCCTTGAACTCTTCTTATTATTTGAACCCTTTTTTTCTCTAAATGTGGGTTTATGTGTGGCCATACGTAGTTGCGGTTGTTTGTGGTTTCCCCCTGAAATAATTGTGGGTGTATGGGTGTTTGTGTGTGGGGACGCACGGATGGATGGTTCGATGTTGTTTCCCAGTTGTTTTTGGTTGAAAATCGATATGAACAAAAAAATCCATAAAAACAAAAGAGTAACAAACAGGGAAAAATGTGAAATATGCAGAGCACGCTTGAAAATTTATTGACTCCACAAGCCAACTATTTCCGTTTGCCTCTGTTAAAAAATCTTGGGTTAAAGACAGTTGAAAAAATATTTTTATAAATTTATTTATGAAATAAAAATTTAATAAATTTGAAAAAATCGAAGCACATCAAGGAATTAACCATTTAGAAGTTGAATATATATCTTCTTTTAGTGTTTCCTAAAAATATTGCAGTAAGGAAGAATTCTTGTCCGTAAAACACCTTAGATACAAATGGTTCCAATATGGGATAAAATACGAGCCTGCTATGTATAATATATGGGCTCTACGTACCAACTATTTCCGCTCGGGTGTAAAATTTCAGAGGCTTTCGGCCTTATACAAATCACTTCCGGGATGAAGCGTTCACGTTGTTGCACCCACAGTGCACACATACAACCACCCACTGCCGCACACACATACACAGACAGCTGGCCACGAGACACCAACACACGGCCGCACTTGCCTACACCTACACATACACACGCGAAGAAAAGGAAATGGAGCTGCAACCTTTGCCTTTCTTTGTATTTGCCAAAAAAATACTTTTCGCTTATTTCCTTGTGGCGCTCCTTAATTATATAATTTCGTTTCACTAAATGCACTTTACGATTTTACGCAATTGGCGCACATTCGTCGCATGATTTGCATAAACATTTTACTGATTTTTCCCATCGCACACACACATACCCGCGCGGTCTGTGACGTACGCACACACACACAGCCGCACTTATATTTTCCTTGTTTTTTTGTTGCCTATAATCGCGCTGCCGTTTACAGTTGGAAATGCTATTTCAACTAAAATAGTGTTCGTCCGTTCTTTTTTGGCCACGGCAAACGGTGTCTACAAACTGAGCGAACTGAAGCTCGTGAAAAGCCGCGCTCTGTATAACTGTAAAAAGCGTGCCAAAAGGAAGAGAGCGCAAGAGAGACCGACAGAGTGGGTGAGAAAAAGCCTGTGAGAGCGGAAGCACTTGCTGTGTTTGTTGTTGTTGTTTTAATATGGTTGTTGCTGTCGAGGTGGTAGTTTAGTGTCCATAGGGTGCTCCACCCTCAGGACAAGAAACACCCTGTGATGAAAACAACATGCGCGCCGCACAGTGGGCTATCAAATAAAGCGGAATTTCAAAACAAGTTGAAATAAAGAATTCAGCAAGTAACTTCCAAATAACAATTGGTTAGTAATGGTTATGGAACTCAAGCTCTTTCACAATCAAACAAACCAAAAAAAAAAATTTTTTTCGGGCCCCGAAGCAAACTAGGTTTGATTGAAATTAATTTTTGTGTATAAAGTTTTCAGCCTTATTAACATTTTTGGTTATTTATATAAGTCCGTAAAGCCATCAATTAGTCTCCTGAAAGGTTTAAAAACTTCAAAATTCAATATTTATTTTTGATTTGAAGTTGCCTCCGATTGCCATAGATAAAGGCAATCGATTTCTCAATTTTGCGGTATCTTGGACACAAACCGGAAAGCGGAGAAATGGCTGTGTCCAAATAAGCTGGGTGGGAAAAATATGTTAACAAAAAAAAAGAGATAAACCATTTTAATTAAGGATATCAAAATGGTAAAAACCTATTTATTTAACAAAAAATTGTTAACAATATAAAATCAAAGGATGGTTGTTAACTGTAAGTAGTCCCCGATTAAAATAAAAAGAAACTGTTCAATATTAAAATAAATATAAAACTTTAAATATAAATACCACAAAACAAATTGTCTGAGATAATTCCAAAAATATATAAACACAAACGTCAAACAAAAATCACGCTGATACGCCTTCGTCAGAACGACTCGTGTTCAAGATCTGACAGATTTACGGATCCGAAACTAATCCCTTCCCAAAAGTAAAGAAATATATGCGAAATAAAATACAAAGACTAGACAGAATTTCAATTTGTATCACTTTATTCAACGTTTTACGTTAATATTTTTTTGTTTTTTAAGAATATTTATTTTTACTGTACTTTAGCTGTACTTTTATAGGTGTTCCTTTTTGGGTGTGGGAACTGCTCGCAATTTGAACATTAAACAATTAAATAATTATAAATAATAATAGACGTCACTTGCTAGACATAACATTACGGGTATAAACTTAGGCTTACTATTTAAGGGTGTACGTTTATGTATAGTAGTATATTATAATATAATTTATGTATAGATATATGTACCGCTACATATCATTGCAAAAGCACAGCACTTTAAACACTTAATTGCCAGTATAAATAATGAATGTTCTTGCTGTCGCAAATTATAACAATTTTCAACAGAAAACAAAAAACGACAATTTCTCGGCTTTTATTTAGAAATCATTGAAGTACTGCAAATCTCTTTGGTCTACTGCCTTGGCGGGTTTCCAATCCTTCTCGGGATAATCATCAAAATTTTTAGTATCACCATCGTGATGTACATCGGGTAAAATTGGTGGCTATAATTGAAATAAATTCGGAATATTATTATTTTGATGTGAATATCTTATATAATATTTTTGGCACAAATTACTTATTATTTATGATTGTTTTAATGCAAGGAAAATAGTGAACGACTAATTGCAACCGAAATATATTTTCAGAAAAGTTTAAACATTTCACAAATACATTGTTTCTAGACATATATAAAATATTTCTAAGAAAAAGTTTTGCAAAATATAATACCAAAGTAAAAGTGCATACTAAGTGTGTACCTTTGCCCCCATTTAAAGTTTATTCTTGAAGTCTCTTCAAACTCGCATACGTGATTTGCTAAAAAAAAACGCTGAGAAATGTGTGCAAAATTCAGCACGTTTGTAACAATCATTTCTGACGCATTTAACCCATTGACTCCCTCCTGGGCGGAGGCGTCCATGTGGGCAATTAACACCTTGTTCTTCTGGGGCGAAATGCCCCCTTTTGTTACATTTCACTCGCACTCGGCGCTCGCAATGGGATCAGCTGGGTTGGGCAGAGGGAACCGGCAGATTTATGGCTCTAACACCCACCCAAAATAGCCGAAATAGACGCTGCGGTCATTAACTAAAGGCACAGCTAATTTGGAAAACTGATTTGTTTATTTGCTTTTAATTACGAGAACGTATGAAAATACATTGGCGGACTGACAAAGAACTAGACGAAAACCAAAAAAAGAAATGAGTGACGCAAAAATCTACACAAAGTAATAACCACAATTACTACTAATTAAAAAGGGAAACTTTGAAGACAAAGACCCTTGAACTCACCTTAAGTTTCTTGTTGTAGACGTCATTCCAATTCAAGTGCTTGAACCAGCGATGCCTCTTCACGTCATCGGCGCCATTCTATTAGGGTGAGACGTATTCCGAAATCGGGGGACGAACATAGAATTAAATACAAAATATTAGACATAAATAACGTTTTGCATTTGGCTGGCTCGTGTTGCAAAAACGCGCGACAAATCTATTAAAAAAACGCAAACGCGACGTGGCGAAAACAAAATTTGGGGGGAACAAGAAAAAAGATTTGAAGAAAATGTATTAGACTAACTGACAACGAGCATGTGCAGATCTATTTGCGATGGCCAACAATTAATTTTTGATATATGCGATGCAATTTTTAATGCCAGCAACAAAATCTGGCCATCCAACTGTGACAAGTGTAAACAATTCGCTATAAATATAGGGCCTAATAAGCCGGAAAATGTTAACCGAAAGCTTGCCAAGTATTTTTATGCGAAACTATCTAAGGAAGATAGAGGTGGAAAAAAATAAATAAACTTTGACAGAGCTAATTTTACAAATCATTAAAAAGGAATCTTGATGGATAGAATGGCAGCTGAACAAACTTTATGCTCCAGTATATTTGTTTATTTATCGATTCTCCTGTTAGATCTTTCTATATTTTAATTTTTAAGAATTCAACATCTGATTGGTGATGATTCTCACCTTCATGTTGCCCAGTCGCTTGGTTCTATCATTCACCAGCAGCTTTTTGATCAGGTCTTTGGCAATGGGATCCATATGACGCTCCCACTCGATTTTACCACTCAATATCTTCTCGTAAATGCCGAAGGGCTGCTCATCGTAGAAAGGTGGATATCCCACGAGCATTTCGTAGATGAGAACTCCTACAAATATGAATCTAATCAGTATTTTTCATTATTGATAGATAGAGATTTAAACTCACCCAATGCCCACCAATCCACGGCTTTATTATGACCCTTGGACTGAATTATCTCAGGTGCTATATACTCTGGAGTTCCGCACAATGTCCAAGTGCGATCCCTCAGCTTTTTGGCAAATCCAAAATCTGTTATTTTCAAATGGCCATCCCGATTGATCAGCAGATTCTCGGGCTTCAGATCACGGTAAACAATTTGCAGCGAGTGCAGGTACTCCAAAGCACTGACGATCTCAGCCGCATAGAAGTTAGCTAAAATATAGGTAACTCCTTATGATTCAAATAGAGATATTAGAGGATGACTACTCACAAGTTTGACTAGTGAATTTTCCTGCATTCCGCAGATATGTAAACAGCTCTCCGCCGCAGACATAATCAAAGATCATATACAGATTTGAGTCATCCTTTGTGGACCATTCCCTGAAAGCAAAAAATATCAATAAATTTATAATGTTTTCTCTGTGGAAAATATAATGGATATTTTTTAATAAACAGATAAATTATATAAAAAAATTAAATATTTATATCGTTTCCAAAATTACATTGACCTTTTCATTTGTATTCGTACGTTAAGGCTTACAAAAATTGTGTTTCATTTTCTGTTTATTATTAAGCTGTATATGCAACTTCCAAAAAATTTTCAATTTTTAATAAAAAATATTTATATTTGTTAAGAAAACTATATTTTCCTATCGTTCTACTTACAGACTGATGACAAACGGATGTCGTATCTCGCGCAGTATATTCCGCTCGTTCTTCACGTGTTCAATCTGTTTGAGACGAATGACTTCGGTCATGGCCAAAATCTTCATGGCACAGTACTTCTCCGAAATGCGATCACGACATAAGCACACTCGTCCAAAGGTGCCAGTGCCTAAAAGAAAACAACAACAACAAAAAGAAGAGGTAATGTAGGGTATCGTATTATCGAATGCATCGAAGCCAAAACCGCAAACAACATTCTTGAATATCGGGGCATGCCCCATTAAAGTGTTTGCAAACGATATGGTAAAGGTCTCGTTTTACCTTAAACGTCAGCGGGTAAACAATCTAGGTCGAAATAATAGAACTGAGACATTTTTAAGGAAAGATAGAAAATCTTGGTTTAACACCTTCTCAATTATATTTATCAGAAAAAAAAAAAAAAAAAGGAATTTCAAGAGATATTTTTTAATTTATATCTCCAACTTATCTCTTTGATTAGAAAACAATATATTATATTATATAATAATAGAATAACCAGCTTAAAGATTTTAACTAAAGAAACTGTACTTTGGGAGACTATGTTTCATATTGGGCTGACATTTCCTAAACCTCCATGTATACTATAAAATATTGACATTTTAGAGGAGTCTATTTTCAGTAAAACTTGACATTTCCACCGCAACTGTAGGCAAACATACTTAGGTGGCTGGTGCATAATTACTGTTTTCACTGTCGAGCACGTTTTGAGGTTACAAATGCGAGCTGGCTTACCAGCCAAGTCAGTGCCACTGGTACCAGGTAATACATATGGCCGGCACGGGGTGTTGGCTTACACGCCCAGCCGAGATTTTCTCAACCTTGAGTTTTTAATTGGGCTAACGTCCGACTCTCTGGGCGCTCTTTTTTGGGGCCGGCAAACGAGCGAGTGAGTGACTAACTGGCAGGAAAGGAAACACGGAGCGTGTGAGCCTCTCGGATTTCACATACTATAAACACTTTGGCCAGCAGATACACTTAAGGCCAAGACCAACGGCGGAA